GCGCTGCGGGCAGAGCGGCGCGGGGCGGCGCGTCTCACGGCAGCGGCGCGTAGTCGTTGCCGGCCCCGCTGGCGGCGTCGATGCGGTGCTGCAGGTTGACCCGCAGCTCCGCGGGCGCCGCTCGGTTCCGGTCGGCGGCGTAGAGGCGCTCGGCGACGCTCCGCAGCTCCGCGTCCGACAGCGCCGAGACCGCGGCGCTCAGAGCCGCCAGCAGCGCCGGCAGCGCCCGCAGCGCCGCCCGCAGCGCCGCCCGCATCCCCGCAACCGCGGCCTGAGGGGGGGCCGGGCGCGGCTCAGGGGGACGCGGCCGGCACCGCGCTGCAGCCGACGTGGCCCGACAGCACGCGGCCCTACAGCACGCGGCCCTATAGCCGCCCCATGGATCCTATCCCGGCCCTATAACCAGCATGGTCCTATAGCACACACAGCCTTATAACGCACACGGCCCTATAGCCGGCATGGCCCTACAGCACACAACCCTACAGCACATGTGGCCCTATAGCCACCCCACGGATCCTGTCCCAGCCCTATAGCCAGCACGGCCCTATAGCACACACAGCCCTATAGTCATCCCATGGATCCCATCCCAGCCCTATAGCATCCCCAGCCCTATAGCCACCCCACAGCTCCCATCCCGGCCCTATAGGAGCCCTGACCCCATAGCCACCCCACAGCTCCCATCCCGGCCCTACAGCAGCCCCACTGACCTTATCTGTGTCCTACAGCAGCTGCGACCCTATAGCAGCCCCACTGCTCCTATCCCGGCCCTATAGCAGCCCCACGGCTCCTGTCCTGACCCTATAGCCACCCCGACCTTACAGCCACCCCACAGATTCTATGCTGACCCTATAGCCATCCTGCCCTATAGCCACCCCACAGACCCTATCCGAGCTCTATAGGAGCCCCAGCCCTATAGTCACCCCATGGATCTTATCCTGGCCCTATAGCCACCCCGACCCTATAGCCACCCCACAGCTCCCAGCCCTATAGCCACCCCGACCCCATAGCCACCCCACAGCTCCCATCCCGGCCCTACAGCAGCCCCACTGACCTTATGTGTGTCCTACAGCAGCTGCGGCCCTATAGCAGCCCCGGCCCTATAGCAGCCCCGCCGTTCCCACCCCGGCCCTATATCCCCCCCTTTATCCCAGCCCCATATCAGCCCCCCAAGGCCACTGTTGTTATGGGGTGGGGGGGAGGGGGGGTGTTTCTTTTGGGGTCTTTTGTGAGGGCAGCGCAGCACCCCGAACTGCCAGC